TTTTTTTTTTTTTTTAAATGGGAAGACGACTATTCTGTCATGCATGTCTCTTGAGATATTACACTGGAATGGGAACAAATGCTGTAACACACAGAAGTCCAGGTGTCAAGTTTAGTAATTTTCAATGCAGGTTTGTACACATCCTACAAGAGGATGATTTGTTAGTCTGTCCAGTGATTGTCATTAGAGATTTGGACCACTATTGTTTTGCTATTCATTCAATTGTAGTCCCCAAAAGCCTTGTGGAACTGTTTGAATCCCTATGTATCCGCTATGTTAACATGAATAAAACATTTTATAAACCAAGTCCATGTTGGTCTTTCTGTTTATTGACTTTGCTTAATAATGTACTTGGATGTTTGTGTATTCACTGTATCTATTTGTGTAATATTAGACTTGATAGTTGAATAGATTTGACAACCTTAAATGAGATTACATTTTTTAATTTAAGGGAAATCAACTTATTTGATTTGGTCAATATTCTGCTAATGTAATAAGATTTTAGGGGTTTTCTGTTATATTTCTGTGGGTAAATGTAACATTTTACTAAATTTACTACTCATTCCCTGAACTGAACTGTAAATTTAAAATAAAGGTATAAAATGACTATAATGAAATCATTTGTCAGTGTTGGAAGTACATTTATTTTGTTATTTAAGATACAAACCATGGGGCCACTAAGGCATAGAAATGAACTTTATGCAGTTAATTATCCATACAAAAGTTTGAATTAGTTAATTAAACCATGACAGAGGTGGGAAGTACTTTTATTTACATACTATACAATTTTGAGGTTATTTAAGTACATAGATTTTATGCTACTTTATACTTTTACTCTACTACTATTTCAGAGAAAAGTAATTTATCGTCTAGTTACTTTACAAATTACATTTTTATGTAAAGGAACCGATTAAACTGCCCACAAATACATAAGGTACTGATAAACTTAATGTCCACCTGTTACAACATGAACACATCTTTGATATTAATGTTTTGGAAACAATAATCCAGTATTATAATCTGACATGGGCCACCTCCCACATAATGAGCACTCATATTTATGATACTGTACGTACATTCAGCTGATAATACGTACCTGCTTTTACTTAAACACTTCTTTCATGCAGGACTTTAACTTGTAATGGAGTATTTTAATGCAGTAATGCTGAATAATCTGGATTCCCCCTCTGATAAAACTATATATGAACTCTTAAAAGGGCATTTCCGCTCTGTGGGGGACTTATTCTTTTAAAGACAAGACTTTTACCAGTGATAGAGTATCTTTAAATTGTGGCATTTCCCTTAAATAAAGGTCTAAGAACTTCTTCCACCAGAAATGAACGAGCTGTGTGTTAACAGCGGATGTTTTCCACTCGGCGCACTTCCGGGTTGCTCAGCTAACGCTAGCTGTAAAAGAGTTACCGACTATCTGGTGACAATGACACATCTGGCATAGCTGTTTTCACCTTCCTAAAGATGAGGAGCTTACTTTTAATCGCATTTCTCGCTCCTTGTTGGGTCCACGGTGCAGTTAAATCCAGAGTTACTCCGGAGGAGAAGCAGGAAGAAACCCCGGAGTTCGGTGAGCTAACTCAGGCTAACGTTAGCTTTAATATGAATGCTGTCTTTAAGATAAAGGGCGTTAACGAGCAATACTGCAGCTAAATGCTTTTTATGTTGATTTACTGTGATTAACAACGCCGATATTCGGGTTAAGTGTTATACAATGTTGAAAACATCGAGTCCTGGTTAGCTGCTAAATAAAACCACATCCTCAGACTGTAGATTGTGTGTTTGACCGCAGCACTCTGGTGTTTGCAAGTGAGCAAACGCAGCTTCTGCTTGGTTGTGTTTTCACCACTGTGGCCTCTTGTCTTCCAGATACTCTGAACTCCATCCTGTCAGATTATGATGTGCTGCCAGTGTCAGGCCTCCAGCTGCACTCTGTACGGAAGAGAGACCTCCACACCCAGTCCCACCTGGAGCGTCTGGTGAGCTTCACAGCTCTGCACAGGTACAGTAATAGAGAGTAGAGAATAAGCCTTCTCAAGTTTGTATTAAAACAAAACTCACCATGCATATATTGAAAAAGTTATAGGTCACTCTAGTGTAAGACCCATCTCTTATTACATGTTGATTTGTGAGTAACTGTGGCACACTTGGCAGTGAAGACACACTCATTACAAGATGTTAGTGGGTTCAGATGCCTGTTCACAAACCCTGCCACAGAATGAAAACCTAGATAACTTTACTTGGTCTTTATTTCATTGTGGTTGCTTTATAAATAGGAAGCACAGTTAAAACCCTCAGAACCACACAGGTGGTGCCCACACAGCTAATTTTATGCTCAGCTGAATAGTGAAATGCAGTTGGAAGTGACAGGATCTGAGAAATACCCGAAAATGATGTTATATATTAAAATATGATGCTTCAGCATTCGTAGTTAGTTACTCGTAGTCTGAGGAAGTGGGAATCTTTCATAATTACAGTCTTTTTAGTAGGAAGTTCCCTCTCTGCTTTTCTCTCTGCCCATTTCAGCAAGGAAACACTTTCAAAAGTAATGTGTTTTTACTAAAACAAGTAACTTTGGAATATACTTTCAGTTTGTCAAAACTACGTCTTGAATTGCTGAAGAATCATTTTAGCCTCGGCTGATCTTTGGGATGTAGTTTTGCGCGGAACAAGGACTGTGGATTTTTAACCCATCACTTAAATTAAAGTCAGACTAAGACTTTCTTTCTCTTTTCTTTGTTGTTGCACTGAATTTTCATGTGACTCCTTACAGTGTTGAAAGCACCCACATCATGTTCCTCTTTTCTCTTTCTCTCTCTTTTTTTTCTCTTTCTCGACTTCAGAAATTTCAAGCTTTACTTGACCACCAACACAAAGCTTTTCACCGACAACTTCAAAGCTGTGTTTCTTGATAAACATGGGAGGGAGAAGAACTTCGATGTTTCACTTCAGAACTATTTCACTGGACATGTTGTTGGTGAGCGAACGACGTATAGCATCAGGGAAGCACCAATATGTTACTATGTAATATAATACTTGTTTTTAAAACCTTAATCTGATAAATTAATTGCCATTTTTTGCAAAATATGAACGATAAGTATGGTCTGTGATTGTGGCCGATGATGCATAGTTCAGATACTGATACTGGCTGACAAAATGTTAAAGTATCTGTGCACCTTTTACTTAATAGATTACTGGATCTATTTTGCTAATATCAACCTTTTAACCTTACTTGTTTTGTGTTTGCAGGAGAGGAGAATTCACGTGTGCAGGCACACATAGAGGGAGATGAGTTTTCGGCTCATATTCTAACCGATGAAGCAGAGTACAACGTAGAGGTAGGTTTGTGTAGAATCCAAATAGGCAGGGGATTTTTTTGTAAAACACTTGACCCTGAAGCCATTTAATCTCCTACATTTGACAGTAGAAAGGACACTGCTTGAGGACTGTGACAACCATATCAGCATTTACCAAAGCCAAACCAAAGGTTGCCACAGAGTTCTTGACTCGTGTGCAGTGGTGTACAATTCCTACAAACCAAATAATAAATGAAAGGTTGATTAAACTACTAATAAGACACACAGCATGCAATTAACTAATTACAAACATAATTAATGATCACTAAACAACCCATGAATGAGCACACAGTACAGCCATGAATAACAATACCTTAATGCAAAGAATGCAGCAGTGAGTGATTATAAATATATGATTAGAATTATGAATACAGTCAATGACTGAATAAAGATGGTAAAGATGTCTTTGGGGAAACACAGGAGATTAATGGAGGAAATTCTTTGGATTCCTTTTCCATTCTGGATGGCAAAGTCGTTCTCTGTTCTTTGTGTGCTTTAGTCTAGGGGCCATTATGTAAAAAGGGGCCACTCTTCCTACTTTGTTCATCTAATATGGATGTGAACACCCTCAAGGAGCCTTACAGCTAAAAGTCAGCACGCTGTTTTTTTCATTTAAAACCTAAGTGCTGTAGTACAGAGTCAAAACATGTTACTGTCCAAATACTTAAGGACTATTGTATGTTGTAATATTGTATGTTATACTGTATGTTACAGGTGGCCACTGCCCTTCCTATCTGGCTTTTCTCTTGTCAGCATTCCTCGCCGATATCTTTCTATTTCCAATCTCTCTTTACTTCCTTGTGAGACTCTCTGGTTCCTCTGTTTTGTTCTCTAATGCCACCCCTCTTTGTCTGCTCATCCAGCCCCTGTGGAGGTTTACAGATTCCCCAATTGATGGCAGGTTGCTGGTTTATCGCTCAGAAGACATCAAGAATCTGAGCCGCATCGCTTCTCCAAAAGTGTGTGGTTACGTCCACGCAGAGGCTAAGGACCTGCTGCCACAGAGTGCCAGGAGTGATCGGGACGGGCAGGAGGGGGTGGACCAGGAAAAGGGTGAGCTCTGCCGTCTGTTTACCTCAGTAAATGTTGAGAAGCTTGCAAATGTGTGTGTGTGTGTTGTGCCTGTGTAGTGGAAATGTGTAGGAGGAGGATGGAGTATAAGGTTAGAGATCGAGAATCAGGAGCAGGCTAGGCTTTGTGCTCCTGTTTGTGGATGTTGGAGAGTAGGAGGATAACAAATGTTTAAGGTGGAGAGAAGGAAGGAGGAGGCTGTAGTAGTGAGATAAATGAGGTGGGTGTTAGATTCTGTCACAGTTACTTTAATAAAAGCCCTTTTATCTGTAAAACCTAGTTTATGCACATACACACTGCTGACAAGTGGGTATTATGTAACAACCAAATGTCGTTTGGTTCTTTTATGCTGCTTCAGTAATGTAAAGCATATAACAGTGGTAATGTGCCAGCGGAGGAATCTAAAACACCTCTCACTGGCTGCTGCTTGAAAGCACTCACTGGGGATATGAGTTGAGGTGAAGGTTCTTATGGAGGAGGCATTAAAATTCATGGAGGCTCTGTTGCCCAATGAGATGACTGTGAGTCGTCACTGGTCTCCCACTGCTTGTTGTGGAAGCCAGGGCAGCGCACACCCACACTTCTGAACAGCGCATAGCCAAGTGTATGATGTAATGCTCAAATGCGATGTCTTCCTGTTGTCCTTTTCTGTTATTTCCTCAACTACTGAGTGTTTGAGGAGTTAAAGATGTATGCAGTTCTGCAGCATCCCTCCAGATGTTCACTTCCAGCTTTTAAATGTAACGATTTGCTGCTTAATTTATTTGTACCTTACAAAATGCGCAATTTTAAGACATCCCCATGGGCTCTGGAAAATTGATTTCACTATTTTTTACCAAATATTTTCCACTACTTTTTTTTAAATCATTTTATTGACCAGTGGTTCTTAAACTTGGGGGTGTAGAGTCACTGTAGTTGGAAACACATGACCAGAGAAAATAAATGTGGAGGGCAAATGGACCTGAAATGATCATGTATTTAGGTTTACAATCATTGTAGTGGGAGAAATTTACGTCCTTTTGTGTCTAAAACGATTGCAAATTGGGTAGGCAAAGTCACCATTTTGTGTACATAACTCCAATGAAACGCGCATGGAAAAAAGTTCATGTTTCACATAATATTATTTCAGTGAAATAAGTTTTGCATGACTCGGCCAGTGTTTATTTTTGTGTCACAATTTTCATCTTAATTGAGAAAAGTATTAAAATCATGATAATGTGACATTTGTTGAGGTCTGTACCAAACAAACATGTTTTCATACATCTGGAGAACAGGACATCTCTGTACTACAGTGTCTAATTACAGTTACAATAGTTGATGTTTTCTCACACATTTTACCTTTATCAAACAATTACACCTTCTGTAATTCAGATATTCCACTTTGCATTATTTTGATTAATTGTGAAATTCAGCTTTCATTTATCAGTATTTTTGAGAACCACTCTTACTGACTAAATTAATTGAAAACAAAAATAATAATAATTGCAGACCTTAGCATCACCTTTACAAAGTTGACACTAAGATTATGCTAATGCAAGACATAGCACCTGTAATACATTTAGCCACAGTCAGGTTATGTGTTCACACATTCAACACAGAAGTGTTTTATATAGTAATAAAGATCATCGAGTATACCACATTTAAAAACCTCTGTTCTAGCTGGATAATTAAACCTAACTGCGGTCTGTGTGTGAAATGTGGTCTTTAGTTTACTGTGGGTGCCTCCTCTAGCTGTCAGGGTGTACAGCAGATCTCATTCACACTTATTATTATGCACTCAGGACTCTACTATAAAGATAAATTGCTATTTAATTCGGGCTTGAAGAACAGAGGCAGAGTTTAATCAGTTCACAGGCAAACAAAAAAGAGCTGCTGCTAAATGTAAAAATGAGGCCAATTATTAACAATGTGATACTGGAGCATGGCCTCATTGTTAAACTTCTTGATGTCTTTATGTAAGCTTACCCTTGACTGTTTGAATATGGCAGAGTTTTAAAACCTGATGATTACTTCTTCTCCTCCCCCCTCTGTTTGTCTACCTGTGACCATTTTTCTTTCTCTACCCCGTCTGTCTGTCTGTCTGTCTGTCTGTCTGTGTCTCTCTCTCTCCTGCTGCTTCGTCCTTGTAGGGCACCACCACAGAGAGAAGAGACAGGCTCACGACCACAAGAAGAACACCTGCCCCCTGTTGCTGGTCGCAGATTACCGCTTCTTTAAACACATGGGCCGCGGACAAGAGAGCGTCACTCTCAACTATCTGGTGGGTCTTCATGATGAACAGATGAACAAAACCGTCATTCTGTAGTGCAGAATTAGCATCTGAAGGGTTAATGAGCTCCCATGGAGTATTAAGTTGAACAGGACTAGATGAGAATGTCTTGCTTTATTGTCATTTCTCATTTCCACAGTTTAGTTTTACATCTGTATGTCTAATAATTAATGAATTATCTTTGTGGTACTGTCTTTTATATTTCTGTATGTTAATGAGTTTTTTTATTTACTCACTCCAGATTGAGCTGATTGATCGAGTTGATGACATTTATAGGAACACAACTTGGGATGATGAATTCAAAGGCTATGGGGTCCAAATCCATCAGGTGTGTGTATATATAATATATATATATATATGTGTGTGTGTGTGTGTGTTTATTATTATGACCTTTTCTGGTATAAACACTGACCTTTTTAGGGACCAAAGACTGGTTCTAATGCGGCAAAACCTTATTTCTGGGGTCCGGGTTAGGGTTAGGCATGAAGTGGTTAGGGGTAAGGGGGTAAGTTAGGCTGTCCAAAATGATTGAAGTGAGTGGAATATCCTAACAAAGATAGCTGTTTAAACTTGTGCCTGTGTTGTACTACATTGTAATACGGCTCAAGTCTTGACTTCAGGAACAATCGCTGCTCTCACCAGCATGATGGCTTTGTTTTACATTGAGACACTCTACTGGAAGTGAAGCTGAGTATAACACTGTCCCTCAGTGGTTTTGAAAAAAGCATTTTTAGGAGGAACTGAATGCTTTTGTGGAAGCCACGTGGGGTAATTTAATTTGTTCCACGGGCTTTGGGAATGAATGGAGACAGTGTTTATCATACTGTGAGTCCTGGGTTTTCTCACTGAAAAGATATGCATTCATTTAGCTGTTCAGAGTCATTTTCCAATTTTCCTCACCATACATGTCAAGAAGACCTTCTAATATGCTGCTTTTAACCACAATACATTTAGCTGACTAACTGAGAGTCACATGGTCTCCTCTATGAACTATGACTATTATTACAGACCTGGGGCCACTTCTGGCAATCTTGAGTTTAATGTAAAGTAATTTAAATTAATCAGTGATTCAAGGGACAAAATAAATCTAATGTGCATTTTAAAATCTGGTCTATGAAAGGTTTCACAAATCCCAATATGCTAAACTTAATAAAAATATAAATATTGTATTTTGGTTTCCATTCTCAGATCATCATCAACAAGGAGCCTACGAATCCTCCGCCTGGCGCTTCTGACACCCGCTGGGTCCACTATAACATGGAGAACAGCCCTGTGAGCGGAAAGCTGGTCTGGGACGTGAAAAAACTTCTGGAGGTAGGAGACAGAGATATAGACAGACAGACAGAAAAAATATGTCTAGGTACACTAAATTCCCTGTGAGCAAAAGGCTTATCAAGATGAGAGGTACATGGAGGGAGAGCTCTCTTAATGAAGGATATAACACTGCAGTTTAACACTAAGTTAAGACGCCTGGTTTAGATGTTATAAATGTGATTTAAAGTGATGGTATTACGAATATATTACACATTTTAAAATGTTAATCTCCTTGTCTTTATGAGTTTAGTTTTATTAATGTCAGTAAAACCTTTTTAGGAATTATTCTACAGTGTTTCGAGTCCTTGTGAAACAGAGAGTAAAAGTGATTTTGACGTATACAAATGTTGGGAGATAATAGTTCTCTTTGTGTCCCTCAGCAATTCAGCTCGGACATAGCTGACAACGCCTCCACTGTGTGTCTGGCCCACCTGTTCACCTACCAGGATTTTGATGAGGGCACACTGGGGCTGGCCTACGTGGCCCCCTCCAAACCTCAGGCCCTGGGCGGCCTCTGCCCAAAACGTAAGCACACATCCTTTAGCAGCATGAGCTAAGCATTAAATGGTGTATATATACATCTAAATCATGCAATACCTACAGTACATTACCAGTATATTGTTCATGTCTGATCAATGCAATAATGCTTGTGGGTTATATGTTAAAGACCACCATGTTGCAGTATCAATGAAAATCTGAAAGTAAATTAGTTTCTAAGGCTGCTAGTAGACTGAATACTGGGCAGGGAATTGCCAAAAATGACATGGAAGTGGGGAAAACTGTTAATATACTGACTTCTTTGTTTGATTGTGTCATTTTATAGCATACTACCCATCTCACTCTGTAAAGAAGCCCAGTTACCTCAACACAGGCCTGACCAGCACCAAGAACTACGGTAAAACCATCCTAACAAAGGTTAGTTTTACCCTGTTTTTAAATCTTCATCTTTGACAAACGTAATTACTAGGTGCACTCAGTTTCAGGCAGGATGTTATGCAACATATCATTCTGCTCTAAGTAGGGCAGACGCACCTATTTGTTTGAGTGTATGAGTAATGATGTTAGCCTGTTTGCATTTTGACACCTCAAGTATCAGTATGTTGCTTGCTCTTCTGCAGAAAACAATAATATGAGCTGGAAGGAAGTTTTTTGGGGATTTGGGGTCTAGTGGTTGAGAGTCTGTATCCTCTATGATGATTTGATTTTTGTCAGTGTCTTATTTGTAGTTAAACATCAGTTGCTTTCTGAGCAAAGACTCAGGGCCCTATTTAAATTATCTATAGCACGGGATCTAAAGTACATGATAAGAGTGCATTCAGGGCATGTCTAACTCTCCTTTTGCTCAATAAATGGCACGCAATCTGGGTGTGTCAAATGTAAAATAGGACACTTTGTGTCAGTCCTGCATTTGGTGCTTGAAAGAGCTTTGTTCAGATTGACTAACAAACGTGTGTGTCCCATCAGGAGGCAGATTTAGTGACCACTCATGAGCTGGGCCATAACTTTGGAGCAGAGCACGATCCTGACAACATCGCTTACTGTGCTCCCAATGACGACCATGGGGGCAAGTTTGTCATGTACCCTATTGCTGTCAGTGGAGACCATGTTAACAACAAGGTAACTTCCCACATAGTGAACAAGTGAAGCTTCATACAGTAGGGTATAACAGAAGCATTACTATATAGGACCTGTTGGTATAGAACTATGCTGACAGGATACACTGAGTTAATGATACAGAGTGGGATATGAAGTGTTAATTCCATTTCTAAATGAGCTGCTTAATCTACAGAGTGTTAAATAAATGTGAGTCACAGTTGTTCCTGTGAAATATATGAAAGACAGGAGATATACTGTATCTCTTCTACCACCATGGGCCTTAACAGCTAATATGCATATGAGTTCTGCTGCAGTTTAAGGTGAAGTGCTGCTGTTTATCTTCAGTGACTCATTCTGCACTTTAAACTAGACTCTCTTGAAGATATCTGTAAGCATTAAAAGTAAATCTTGTATCCAGTCCATGGAACTGTAAATTCATGCTTAGTTTTGTCAAAAAATGTAAACGTGTAAACTTAAATCTTACATTACATTATAGATAGTAGTATTTTAGTTTTATAGCAATCCTTTGTCACATCACTTTCACAGTCAAGCTTAAAGCATCCATACCTAGTTAATATGTAACCACCGTCTACTTCTCCTTCCCTCCTAAAGCGTTTCTCCAACTGCAGCAAGATCTCTGTAGGAAAGACGTTACGTTTCAAGGCTCCTGTGTGCTTCAAGGAGAGGAACAGTAAGGTGTGTGGGAACTCCAGGGTGGAGGAGGGGGAGGAGTGTGACCCTGGGCTACTCCACCTCAATGACGACCCCTGCTGCTCATCCGAATGCAAATTCAAACATGGTGCACAGTGCAGGTATGAGATACAAAAGGCAGATTCAATTGTAGAAAACATGCAAGTCTAAACACACACTAAAACATGGATTAGTTGATTTAATTTACCGATAATCTTTGTGGTATTAGTTTGAGTCACACGTCTCTGTTCTCTCCACAGTGACCGAAACAGCCCTTGCTGCAGGAAGTGCATGTTTGAGCAGGCAGGAAAACGGTGCCAGGAACCCATTAGTGCTACCTGTAAAGGCATATCCTCCTGCACAGGTGAGCGCCTCCTGCTGGTGTAACACAAGAACTGGAGCAATCAATGTTGGGTATTCTTTTATTTTTTTTGAGAAAAACTACATCTCTCTGACTTTCCTTCACATGTTAGGCAACAGCAGTGAATGTCCACCTCCTGAAAACGCTGTCGACAACACGGTGTGTGTTGACAACGGCCGGTGTCACAAGGGAGAGTGCAACCCCTTCTGTGAGGCCATGCAGAACCTTAAGTCCTGTGCCTGCAACGGTAAAGAGCAAGATGAGGGGCAAAATGTGCAACAGCCCCAAACTGATAAAGGCTTTAAGTTGATTGTTGGACTAAAGTTTGGATCCTGTCCATCTGAGCTGTAAAACAATTGTTGTATGAGGTGTAAATCAAGGAAATCATCAGAAATGCCCAGGAAAAAATTTAGCATGATTACATTTAAGATAAGATTTTGTTTACTTTAGGTTTTAAAAAATAATTATTTCAGTGATATTTAGGAATATGTTGTCAGTTCTACAGATAAACCCCCAGAAAGACAATATTTTGTGAAATTTTCATATTTAACCTTCAGTCGAAGGATTAAAAGGTTCTCTAGTGGATGTTAAAATCCTATAAGCCCTTGGCTTATGAAACCCTTTAAAAACAGTTAAACTATTAAATATATTGTGGCTTAACTAACAACGCAGCTGTGCCTTTATTACTCTGAACACTAGATATCCAGTCTGAAAGAATCTGAGTGCACTTCCACTGTTAATGGAAGGTGTATTTATTACAATTAAAACATGTAAAACAGTTAAAAGCTATGAAAGTTGATCCCCTCTTCTGTTTGCAGAGACGGAGAACTCCTGTAAAGTGTGCTGCAGGGGAAAAGATGGCACCTGCTCTCCCTTCATCCAGACCAATGGCAGTTTCCTTTTCCTTCGCAAAGGAAAACCCTGCACTGTGGGCTTCTGTGACGAAGGCGTGAGTCCCCAAATCTTTCACATCTGTCCCCTCTACAGACCGGATTCCAGCTGATCCTACCATGTTTCCATCATTTATTTTTTAGTTCCTAACACAGTCGAGCACTGAAAGGTCTTACAATGTTATCTGGATGTTGCAATGAGTTCATTGATTTTGCTTTATTCTGCTGTTCTCTTGTTAAAACAGGGAAAGTGCATGAAGCAGGTGCAGGACGTGATCGAGAGGTTGTGGGATTTTATCGACAAGCTGGACATTAACACGTTTGGTGAGTTGGTTACAACAGACCACTTTCAAATCTAATTAACCACATGAGAATGTGTGGAGGTCAGTCTTTTGTTTTCTTTTTAATGGCTGTAATCTTGTCACTCTCCTTAACTTCGTCTTTCTTTCCATCAGGGAAGTTCCTGGCTGATAACATAGTGGGCTCTGTCGTGGTGTTTTCCCTCGTCTTCTGGATTCCTCTCAGTATCCTGGTCCACTGTGTGGTAAAAAACTGCTTGACCTTAATTTACACTAGTAGCCAGTGTCTTTAGTGTGACATTAACTGCTTCTTTTTAGATTCTGTAGCTCAGTGGTTAAAGGTAGATCTCTCTTTCATGAGCTACAGTAACAACCTTAATACTTTTACTTCGTCAAATACTGACAGTTCTGCCCTTTTTATGTTTCTCTCTGTAGGACAAACGACTTGACCAGCAGTATGAGGAGAACACAAAGACCTTCTACTACCCTCCAAGTGTAAGTTTCTCATCTCTCAGTTGCCAGTATATGATCCTGTGCACAGGCCTTGCAGCCACATTAACCAGACTAATACAATCCCACATTACTTTTTTAAACACACTGACATCTTTGATAAGTGAGCATGAAGGTTGATTGTTCAGGTTTAGTTATTTGCCTTTTTTTTCTGGCTCCCTGCATGATTTGTCACCATTAACCTAAGTGTTAACAAAATGTAAATTCTGCAGAAATCCTGCTGAGAGGAAAATAAATAAGATTAAATTAGCAACCATAAAATAAAAGCTTCTCTCATTTTTAACAGCAGACAAAGCTCTGCTAGGTTATATAGTGTTTAAAGAGCTTTACAAATCTTTATATATATATATATAGTCCGTTGACTATGATAGGTAGTACTAGGTATAGTAGTATATATAGTAGTACTATATTATGTATATAGCTTATATATACTAGTAGCCCTATATACTTTATATACCCTCATATGATACTACTATAATAGGTGATCATATAATCTTTTTTTAAGATTCTTAAAATTAGTTTATATACATATATATATTAAAGGCCCTAAATGCATATTTTCTCAATCAGCTTTTTATTCTGAGAGGAGGATTGATACATGTGATAAAGTTAAAACACACATGAGAAAACTTTGTATTTATGTTTTTGTTTGTGCTCTTTCGACTGGTTCGAAGTGGCAGAACTCCATTGGAGAAAGATGATGTTACGTACTTTTGTGCATCAGACAGGAAAAAATGTAATTAAAATCTGATAACAGTTGTGGGATTGTTTGTTTCTGCTGCAGGCCACTGCTGATCAAATCTGATCAACCCTCATGCACACAGCCCGGATTACACAGATTAGCTGATCTTTTGAGTGTTTAACTTTTAATTTAAAAAATGTATGAATATTAAATTTTTTAATACAAAAGTGAGATTTAAAACCAAGTTCTTAGGGGCTTTAAGAAATGATGTCTGTTGCATCATTCAGTGTGTGAAGGAAAAAAAAAAAATGAAAGTAACATCATTCCCAAGACAGTCCTTATGATCAGGTCTGGCTTCAAGCTCCGAATGATCTGTCTGCCTTGGCCCTTTCCTTTCTTATTGGAACTGCAGCAGATGGTGGAAGTTTGTAGTAGAGCTCCCGCCATAGGTGAGTGCGTGTGCCACAGTTTGGTGTTGCGATGCGTTGCCATTGAGTCCATGATGATGCATGGTCAGTGGCCCACGTTTGGGATACTCCTGCAGTCACTTACTCCTTGATGTAATCACTGATCTGGTTGCACATCTCCAGCCCTCATACTCACTCACTCACTCTTTTTCATCAGAGAGACGAAGTGAAACTAAAGCTAATAGTTTAATGTGACTGAACAACTGTGCGTGTGTTCCTCTGCACGCATGTCGTCCATGCAGTCTCGTATCCGATCAGAAATTACCTCAAGAAAGCAAGCAAGATTGCATTTTAGGAGTATTCAAACAGAGAGACGACTGAACAGGTTGCACCTTGTTGTCTTTTGTGAAATCTGATGCCGTGTGTGTCAACATTTTTAAGTTTTGCATCTGCTGCTCTTCAAAGCCACAACATGAAGAGGTCTAATGTCGTTTAGGTGATTGTTATTTTATGTTGTTGTTATTTTTTTACTGGCTGTCTGCACTGTGTTAAGTCCTTTTTTAGGTTTGATTGGGAACACGTGGAGACTGAGGGTACATTCCTCTATAGAACTTTCTCATGGCGGACATTTTGAATTATAACGCCGGGAAAAGCACAGGAGCAACTAATAACCTTAACGATGGATTAATTCCATTTAGTTGTGACAGTAATTCTGCAAGTGAGCCAGCATGCACAATATCAGGCTTCTTGTTCTCCTAAATGGACTGCAGCCATTATTAATATTAGTTACACCTCTGAAAATGTCCGCAATGAGAAATGTTTCTTTTACTCATTCCCACTTTTGAATGGGGCTTGGGGATGGTAATGGGACAATAGCAGAACATATAATGTAACTAAAAACGGAAACAGCTTTAGGGCTTTGATAAACTATTTAATGATGTTAAACTGTGAGAATCAGGAAAAATATCTGATGGTCTGACTTGAGCAGAATGGAGTAAAAAGGGAATGAGTTCCACCTCAGTCAGAGACAGTCAGCTCTGACGTGCTTCGGTCTCACGCCTTGTTCTTCCTCTGCAGAGTCAAGAAATGCTGACCAACCTCGAGTCAGCATCCGTGCGCATCGTCAAGCCTCCTCAGCCTCCCTCCTCCTCCGCCGGCCGGACCGCGCCCTCTTCCCTGCCCCCGCAGCCTCAGCAGCTGAGCCAAGTCGGGGCCTCTCCCGTGGCAAGCAGCAGCAGTACCCTGGCCCCCGGCCCGAGCTGCGGCCCCACCCCGGACAGCGAAGGGGGGCTGCGGATGGCCACCATCCAGGAGGACACCAGCAGCGACTCTCACCCGGGAGAGGAGGGCCTGTCGGACGATTTCACAACCGCAGGAGCCTGCTCGTCGGCTACGAAGTCCTCCTACGAGGATCTGACAGAACAGAACCAGCCAGCCAAGGACCGGCGGAGACTCAAGAGGCAGGACTGCATTGACACTAAAGAGACAGAGTGCTGAGAGCAGACAGCCAGCACTGATAGGTGTTTTAGGGAACATGCAAATACTTTCTGCATTAAGTACCGTACATTTCTTACTACAAATCACAGCGAGTGTTGAACAGTAATAGCATTATGTTTTTATAGGTCATATTAGGTGTTTAATAGATCTAAGGACAACATTTCAGCTGGCATTATTCAGTCAGCTGTAACTTGGATTGAATCACCAGAGAATAATGTTGTGCCTTTTTCAGTTTTTTATGGGGTCCTTGGCCACATGATATTCTGGGAGATCTGAGTAGGTCTGTGGAAATTAATCTACCGCAGGCCGGTTGCCCAAACACATCAAAGTTAAATGATATTTTTGTTGTAACCCAGTGGTTAAAAGGTTTCTGAATATACAGGAATTCAGATTACAGGCTCTATCCACCTTTGCCACAATATTATATTATAAAAAGTGAGCTATGATTGTGGCTCACAAGTTGTTTTCTATCTATCTTACCAGTTCACTCCACCAACAGTTTAACAGGTGAATGATGTAACATAATATTATTGATGTTGTAAATGTGGTTATTTTCCTATTAAAGGAAACATTTCTGTGTGATATATTTAGCAGCAAACGCTAAACCTTGACCTAAAAATGACCTGAATCTGTGTCATAACTGCACTTAAAGTATTTTTCACATCACTGGAGGACTGAAATAAGTTGTATACATGTTCTTACTGCTGTCAACAATGGATTCTTTTAAAAATGACAGAATTGTATATACTTTGTACTTGTAACATGCTTAATACCGTGCAAGGATTGAGAGATGGTCTATCAGTATTGGGCTTATTTTATTTGATTATTTGTCATGTGGGCTCTCTGAGCGGTTGATACCTGTATGAAACAACATGGTGCCTTTTCAGATTTTGTGCCTAACCGTTTTGACTTATTTCTGTGCAAAAAGACATGAAAATTCCCAGTAGGTGAACAGAAATCCAGACAATCCTGAATTGTATTTGAAAAGAAACCAACTGAGGTGCTCGAATGTTATTTCACTGCTTTGTTTTCTGTCCTGAGTTATGCACCTCTCTGTTATTTAAAGCCGTCTCACCACTGTTGCCTGCTGTGTCACATAATAAAACTGTAAAAAATATATTTAACTGTAGGTCAAGAACAAAAGAAGTAGTAGTTAACATTGTTTAAACTGGATGAATGAACTGTTACAACAAGCAGATGTCCTGTGTGATTTACTCTGATGATGTGTATATTACTAATATGTCTATGCATATAAATGTCCACCCTTCAGTTCCTTTTTTTTTTAAGGCTTCTTGCTTGTATTACCTACACACATCTCAAAATAAAAATCTTTATTGTGCATTTTAAACATTAAACCATGATCTCATGTTTTACAAAAACAAACCACAGTTGTTTCATAGGAATACAGTTCAGTGTCAGGGTCTCAGAAAGTAATTTCTAACAAGTGCAATACATTGTTCTCAGAATATCCAGCACTGCAGGATGTTAAAGGAAGATGTTTTTCTAAACCTAAAGTCCTTCATTGGTCACAGAGGAGGCTGCTCTCAGGGCTCTTGGTGTCAACGTCCCCCCAGTAGGGCAGGATGAAGGGCAGGTCGGCCACACGACTCTCCAGCAGCCCCCACAGGTGCTCAGCCACAAACCGGTTTCCCTTCTCTGAGAGATGCAGCCCGTCTGACAGGTAGACTGTGTAGTCCTGCAGAGCAGAGGACAAAACAGGATGTCTGAAGCCACAGGACGTTATGATTTTAAAGACAGATTATGTTTGGTCACGGTAAGGTCAATGCTTTCACTTTGTCTCATATCGAGATAATAGTAAGATCTGAAAGGATAAAATACTTAAGGGCACTATAGTGACTATATCTAAAACCCAACAAATAAGACCAATGAAACAAGCTTGGATTTTTCCTGCCCATGCACTCAGGATATAACAGACTGTTTCTACTGCCTGTCTCAGAAATGCTTTACTTTATGGGTCTGATTATATAATGATTTCCTGAAAATAATCATGTAATTTGGTCCTAATCTCTAAGTTATACATGCAGTTATCACTACCTAACTTAACTCAGTATTTTATTAGTTGTTTACCCTATTACTACCCTATTTGTTATACACTGAGGGGTGGGTGGTGTGAGCTTTTATTGTTTTTCTGAAGAGGCCATGCCCCACCACTGAGAACCACTGCCTTTCCTTACATTAAATGCCATATTACATTTTTCCAGAAAATTCTTAATATTTAGGTATTATTTAGACATTTAAAAAACCTAATATCCCATGTGATACGTTAGGATTGTATGTTACAGTGTCCTCTAACAACACGCAGCAGTGACCGTAACAAGCACTACACACCTGTCCATCTTTCTGCATGAGTGTCCAGAGGTCCAGGACATCTGTACCACACTGACCGGCAGCCTGGACACACGCCTGGGCGTACTGCCCCGCTACAGAGTTGTGGCGATTGAGAGGAAATCCTGGAAAAGACACAAAGAAGCACTCATGATATTTATAGTGTAAAAATGGTCTGTGTGACGATAGAAGAACAAGAGAGAAGAAAATCTGTGAATAAATGCTACCTTTCAACATGCACTCTTTCTCCCAGGCTGCCTCATGAACAGGTGGAGGAGTGATGAAGATCACTCTGTCCGCTGACACTCCAGCTGAAGCCAGAAACGTGGTGATGTCCTTCAGGTTCTCTGAATACTCCTGCACAGGGATGTGCTGTTGGGGGTTTTTATCTGCATGACAGGAACACACAAATGAAGCTAAATCAAAGAGAAACAGTAGGAAAGGATGATTCATTTGACACCAGAAAACATTTAACTACTCTAGCAACCTTAATAGATTTGAGTTAATGGTTGTACCTATCCCACTGGAAAGGTGACTAAATCATGTAAGAAGAACAATTTTTTTTACTGTTTACACACTGTATTGGCTCACATTCAAGTCACAGAGCAAATGTTGGAAAGTGAAAATTTGGAAAGCAATTTGTTTTTATTGGTCAAATTTGGCAGTGGTATTTTAAAGATGCAGTTCTACTGTATAAATATTTATAAAACAAAATACTGAAACCCAACATGGGATCATTTCATGTTAGGTAGTATACAATGGTGAAGGATGCTGATTTCTTGTATAGTAACTGCACAAAATTGTATAGTATAAAGATTTGCATACAGTATTTTACTGAATTAGATTTGTATGTAGAATGTATTGGGACTCAGCTAAAGTTTGCAACAAAGGCTTTTTGTTAAAACTTTGTAGTCTCGAGGAAGCATCCTGATAACCGGAAGCTTATGGTGTATACCACTAAACAGCAAATCCCCAGATTTGATTCAAGCCAGGGACCTTTGTTGCATGTCATATCTCTTTATTTGTGACCTCCATTCATGTATTCCTTTATATTGCACAGAGGAACACAGTAATACAGGTAAATATACCCAGAAACTGTAGTCTCCAAACCAAGAAAGTAAGAAAAAAATACAGAGATCTACATTTATGAAATCAGTCCGGAGTTATATATTTATCATAAGAAAATAGTATCATTATTAATCTTCATAAACAGCCAGTACAGGCTCTGGCGGTGGAGCTGTACCTTCCAGTGCACAGTCGTTGGCTCCAAAGAAGACAGTGACAGCAGCTATGTTGTTGTCTGCTGAGTTTTGACTGTCGATGAGGCGAGGAAGAATGATCTTGGCCCATCTGGAGTTGTATCCAGACAGCCCTCTGTTGACAACATCACACTTTCTAAACAGGAAACACAAGTCAGACTCATTGAACACTTACATTAAGGCAAAAACAAATCAACAACCAACATATGGAGCCTACGTACCTTGCTAGTTTGTCGGATATTTCTGCACCCCAACCATTGGCTTGAAATGAAAACTGAAAGAATCAACAGCACTGCTTTATTCATTCAGCTAATGCTAACTAACAAACTTAATTACCCGAGTAGCGGACAATTTGCATAATTACAGTAAAATCGATCTCTGTGTATGACTAACCTGCGTGATGGAGTCCCCAAATAAAACCACTTTAGGCCAAATGACTGTTTTGTACTTGGACATCATGAACTTGTAGCTAGGAACTAGCTGCACTGAACAGACACACACTTCCGGTTGGAGGGGCGCGTTGCCATATTTCACAATAAAGTTCGTGACTTTTTTTTACATTCATATTCAGCTAAATAATTAATTTTATATAGATAAACACATTTTAAAGATGAATAATAAAATGTAAATTTACATTTTGCAAGCCCATTATTGCCACGAAGTAAAAAAAATACTTGCAATTGCACAGAAATGTTTAACTTTAACCGAAGTAAAAATAAGGTTAAATACCGAAAAAAATTGGATTTTTATTAATGAAGTAAATTCTTCTGCAGCATGTAACTTAAATCTTCTGATTTTACGTTTTCAAACGCACCACTGGGGGCGCTGCAGGAAGACGAGCCTCCCTCCGCATCCCGGATATCCCGTTTTATTTTGCTCTCTGTAAACATGGCGGAGGTCAGGCAACGACTTGGAAGGGGAGCGTACGACTTTACACAGAAAACATGTGTCCGTTTCCTCCTGGAGACTCAGACTCCGCAGCACTACAGAGAAATACGGGCTCCGTCTCTATCGGCGGCCTTTCTGTGGGCTGACATTCAAAATGGAGAACCGTTAGGGGCTGGAACTGCCGCGGGCAGAGTGACCGTTGGAGACTCTCAGGGCAGTTACACAAGAGTAACGCCACTGTTTGATAGTGCCGACAGTGCTTTAGAAAACGGTAACACCCCGGAACATTATTGTTATTTTGGACTTCACAAAGGGTATTCACTTCCTAACAAACCCCGGGTTCAAAATACAGAAAGAAATCCCTCCCGGTGCCAGAGTTATGCTAAGTTTCGACGGACTTTCTGCACCTTCGGGTCCGCTCGTCGACTCCAGAGCCCCGGTAGTCGGCCACAGTGCTGCGGCCATGTACAGTCTGTGTTCATCAGGGCGTACAGCGACTACGGGGCCAAGTCTGAGCCCCTGTACAAAACCAAAACAGGCTACTATGAGATCCTGCAGGTGACACCCACCGCCACCCAAGGCCAAATAAAAACAGCCTACTACAAGCAGTCCTTCGTCTACCACCCGGACAGAAACGCTGGCAGCGACGAGGCCACTCTCCGCTTCTCTGAGATCAGCGAGGCCTACACGGTGCTGGGCAATAAGGCTCTGAGGAAGAAGTACGACCTGGGTCTGCTCAGTCTGGCAGACCTGGTCGCAGCAGCCAGACCCTCCGCCAAGGACCCTACGGGGAGCACCGCGAAGCAGCAAACCGGGGGCCGGCGGTCTGCGGCGGACCCGAACAGCCCAGGAGGCATCTTTGATTTCGACAATTTTTTCAAGGCGCACTACAACGAGCAGCTGCAGAGAGAGAGGGAGTTCAGGGCCCGCAGAGAGGAGATGCTGAGGAAGAAGCAGGAGGAGAGCGAGGACGGTAACCTGAGCAAGGTGTCGCAGGTCGGAGTCTGGATGATGCTGGCGATGGCAGTGGCTGTTCTGATAAGCTTAAAGTAGGGATGGAAGAAGTTTAGAAGAGGAAGGGTCCCTTCAATCATCACCTCTCACAAAAGAAGAAAACCAAACGAGTGCTGTTAAACCCCCTCTGTCTTCTGACCCTCTCTGTGCAGGGACATATCAGTGAAATGATCCTTTGTGTCACTATAACAGTGCAGTCTTCTACAGGATTATACTGAAAAGCTGCTAATAAGACTCAACATTTAGTACTGTGTGGCTCTCATTCAACACAGTATTGATGAGTTGTTGAGATGATTTCTGTACACTGGGTTGTACTTTGTCTTTGTCACATACAGTTACTCCCAGCAGCTTTTTATATACTTCACAAAACAAGTCACACTTCTCAGATGTTAAAGCTGCAGTAGGTCATTTTTTATTAAAATGACTTTTTGTCATATTTGCTGAAACACTATCCTGATAGTAGTACATGAGAAAAAACCCTGTCCCTCTGGCTCCTCCTGGTGCTCCTAAAGGCATTTGTTTCATTGTTTGAGAACCCCAGGTCGTCAAATACATCCGTGTTTTTGTCACAAATGACGTATTTCACGCGCTACTGTCAGGATATAGTGAAAGTTTCAGCAACGTTAGTTAGCCACTGCAGCTTGAAATGTTGCAAAATACAAAATACAATTGTTTAATGGTGGCAAAATGATTTAAATCGGTAATTATCTGATTAAAGAATACGTAATAGGGTCATAAATCCGACCGGTCACTCACAACTTTTGTTCTTTGTCCAGCACCCAGCTTCACCCAGTAATTAACCCCCGCTGTGCTAGTAGTAAATGGAGCTGACAAAGGAAGATTCAGTGGTTGATTTACAACCTGTAAGTGCTACGGTTCGACTCCTTTTGGCTTTTATAAAGTCATCTGTCTTGCAGATTTCTTTATTTTTAAAGGTGGAGCAAGTTTTGATTATGTTTTAATGTATTGCTATTTATTCAATATTTATAGCAACATAAGGAACTAAGTTTATGCTCAGATAAGTTCAAAGAAATGACGATAGGATGATATTTATTGTCAAAATCAATGGTTGCATTGTCCTTATATTTAATAAATTACTTCTCAGCAGTGCCTGTCACAGTGAAACAAATGTTGCTTGGGTCTTCTGTTGGCATCAACAACACTGATTGACTGTAAACCTAATTCACAAACATTTCTCACAACAACCGTCGCTCAATGAGTCAAGATACGTTCAAGTTTGTGTAAAAGTCTTCTTCAAACATTTCAACGTTTAGTGCATTTAGAAATTCACAGTTCACATCAAAGTTAAAGGTAAACAAAACCGTCATATCAGTGCACGTTAGTAACGAACTCACACAAAACCTACAGTGCATCTACACAAATACAGTGAACGTATTCAGTATAATTAAAAGTGCTTGTATAACAGAAAACAACACTAAAACCTACCAGAACAAATCCTATCTACACAGCTTATTTCATTTTCTTCAGGTATCTCAGGTCAGTCTAGTCTTTCCTACTTGCACATTGTGTGACTGTCATTGGTTGTTGATCAAATACATCAAACCAGACATACTGTAGATGGTGGTAATGTAGAAATACTGATCTCACACTGTGATTCTCGGGAACACAAGTTATGCAGCTTTCAGCACACGAATACAAGCTGCTTCTTAACTTCCAACACTTTTTGCATTGTGTAAAAGTATCTGAACGTGTCCGCAGACCGGCGGTCTCGACTCCGCTCTCAGACGACCGGGTTGAGGGCGTCATAGAGTCTCTGCACCGCCAGCTCCACCATCTCTCTCAGGGAGTCGTCGTCTGTGCTTTCGTCCTCGTAGCACACCGACTGATGAAGGGAGAGGAAAGTCGGTGAGAAAAGACTAAAACAACAACAATCGTACACCGCACGCATTGTTCTGCTCTGCTTCTCACCCTCGTTTCCAAGCAAATGTGAACCACCTTCCCGTCTACGGTCACAGTGATGTTTTTACCATCGCTGAAATCCACACATTCCTCTCCGAACATGTCCCTGAGCACAGAGAGAGAAACCAACGTGTTGTTATAACTAAAGATAATGGAGGATCTGGTATGGCTGATGACATACTGTATTACCTTACATCACTAATAAGTTAGTATCAGGGTTCATACACATTTTACATTTCCAAACACACCTTTCCCACTTTACCATATTTGATATCTGATTACAAATAGCTAGATTATTATTTATAATTATAATTAATCTATGATATTATGCTGCCAAATAATTGCCAGAAAATTGTGGCTCATACAAATCAATTAACAATCAAACCCAAACACAAGTATTGTCCCAACTATATTTAATAGTTGCTTTTATAAATAAGCCTTTGTTTATTCACTGTTTCCACGGAAACGATGAAGAACGCAGCCATAGTTTTTCTTAGGCAGAAAATACTTTTTTTATAACTACATCACTACAGAACTCATAAATAAATAAATAAATAAATAGACAAGCTTAATATTTGGTTATTTGTGATGCTTGTTTATCTCAAATTAAAAGATAGAGCCACATATTCTGTTGAATTCTCCTTATTCTAACCTGGGAATGACTAAAATCTAATTCCATACTTCCATACTGCGTAGGAACCCTGTTGTATGGATTTAGATAGCTGGTGTGTCACTCACTGCAACATGACTGCTAGTCGGGTTTGGAAGACGTCCATGTCCATAATGGCACTCTGGGTCTCCATGACTGTTAATAAAACACACATGAAATCACATTAAAGTTCATATCAATAATGAGACATTTGTTGTTGTATACTTTCTACAGTTCATAAAACATTTAAAACTTAAGATGCAGACAAACAACATACGCAGCTGATTGCCAAACGGACCTTTCTGAGCCTTTGGGTTTGACTGGACTTCCAGTACTACAGTGGTGACAGCATCGGCATACATGTCATTGAGAGGGTTAGCTATCCACTGAAAAAAGAGATATAGAGAAATATGGCTGGGTTCATAAGAGCTCATAAAGTTCCCACATAAAAGCTGAAGTATGAATAAAGTCTTGGTATCCTGATCGCTCACCTCCAGCAGCACCATGCCGACCTCGTGGATCAGAGTGATATTTTTAAAGATCTTCAAAGTGTTCTTCTCGGTCCCATCCAGCTCTTCCACATCACCTGAGACCAGAGAATCAAATCAGTGAAAGAAAAACAGACACACCAAAACCAAGAATATATCTATAAAGTATTCATTAATACACATCAGACTATAAAGAGATTAACACGTATTGCATGCACATATGGCTGTCTTTTAAAATAGTTCAGAAGGCTTAGCACCTTAATGGTTCAGCACCTTCATACATGTCTGACTGCTTTGTCGACAGATATATATATAGTATTTTTTTATTTATGGTTTTATCTTAATATTGTTTTTATCATTAATAACTTGTTGTTTTTTTTTACCCAGATTTTATTTTATTTAATCATTTATTTTCATTCCATGTTACTAATTTTATTTTCTCCCATAAAGCACTTTGAGCTGCATTTTATGTATGAAAGGTGGTGTATAAATAAAGTTGATTATCATTATTATTATTATTATTATTATTATTACCGGTGAGGTTCCTCAGATGGCAGACGAGCAGTGAGTACGGTCCAGTGAAGGGGATGGCCTGGGACTGTTTCACCGTGCTCATGGCCAGCTCTGTGTACGCTGTAACACAGACACATCAGGTCTCACTGCATGTCAAATGTTTTATATGTTTTAATATTAATACAGTAGAAAGGCAGCATTGTGTACAACTGAGTAGGGAGGCTGTTGTGTGAACTAAAACAATACTTACTAGAAAGGTCAGAGGGGTTGAGGATGTGGTAGTTGAAGTTCTTTTTCACCAGTATGCCTGACACCCTCTGGCCCTGAACACATTTCTTATCAGCAAGAGAGCCCATCACCTGAGGGGAGGAAGAGTATTCAGAGTCTTATACGTGCAACAGTCGTGAATTAGCATTGTTAGGCCAGAAGGAGCCCGAAGTGACAGACAGGCAGTTTATTGACCTTGGCCAGCTTTTCTCCTCTGAAGTTGAGTGTGACAGCCTCTGTGTTGCGAGGGTTGTGGACTTCGATGTGAACTTGATCATTGTCCTCATACTCTCTGATCAGTGCTGCCTTCAGACGGGCCATCTCATTCTGCTCCCCGTGGACCAGGATCTGAAGATAACATGCAGACAATGAGAGTCAAAGATTTAGATTTACAGACGAGTGAGAATTTTAAACACAAATCATTTGATCCATTTTTTTTTCTCCTACAACATGTGGTGGTTTGAGGGCCCTGATGAACTCGCTGGTCTGCTGGTAGTCAGTGTGGGCAGAGAAAGAGATGTAGTCCACTGACATCTTCAGCTGCAGCTTCTGTCCTGACATGGTGGTAATCTCCTCTGGCTCGGACATGATGTGCTGCAGAGAGCACACGAACACACCACAATAAGTTACTTTTGACCAAGGAACTAGATATTAAAAAAATGATTAAAAATAAAACTTTGTCTATTGTCCCGTTGTAGTCTGACCTTGGCCAGTGTGCCCTCCACACAGTATCCAGCGATGATGACTCCGTTCCTCTTATCGGTGCACCAGCTCTCGAACAGCTCTCTGGACAGTCCGCTCTGCATCATACCCGGAGACGCCATCACCACACTGGGACCAATGTCGTCAAAGTGATCCATGCTCTGGAAAGCACCGACCCCACAGTTATATAAGAGACTCAGCAGCAACAGTTTTAGGTGTCTGTATGTAGCGCTCTCTACCTTGAGGTTGCTGATGTGCTTGAAGACAAACGGGTTGTTGATATTGATGGCCTTGCGGATCTTGTCGTTCATTGCGTTGACGTAGGTCTGGTACACAGCCATGCACTTCTTGGCCAGGGATGAAGCGTAGTAGATGGGGATGTCGTGGAGCTCCGGGTGGTTCTGCCAGTACTCGTCTGCAGGAGAACATGAAACAAATTGTAAAAATTAGGCGTGAAATAAGGTTAGAAATGATAGCGTATTAGCAAAAAATGTTGTTTGATTGCTTATTTTAGAGGCATAATCCATTACATTTTCTGGTTCCAGCTTCTTAAATGTGAGGATTTCCTGTTTTTCTTTGTCATTTATGAAAGTAAATGAAGAGTCTTCGGGTGTTGGAGTCATTTGAAGATGTCACTTTAGGCTTTGGGAAACTGTGATGAGCATTTTTCATCATTTTCTGACATTTTATCAGATTGATAATCGAAATAATCGTTAGTTGAAGCCTTAATTCAAATCAGGGAGTGATGCATGACTTCTCACCCAGGATGAGCAGCAGTTCCTGGGCCCGCCCCAAGGCGAACACAGGGATTAAACAGCGGCCTTCTCTGTTGACAATGTCATGGACTGTGTTACAGAACCGAGCTTCACGCTCCTCCCTCTTTTCATGGATGTGGGTGCCGTAGGTTGACTCCTGCAGAAGGAATGACAGGACTTATTATGTAGTGATCACCTAAAAGTTCCATTAAGAGTCGTGTGGTGTTTATTATTTGGCGTACTATGATTAGGATGTCAGGTTTGACACTGGGGATCTCAGCTGCCATCAGATGCCGGTCTTCTTGTCGGGAGAAATCTCCTGTGTACAGCAGCTTCGGGGGGGAATAACAGACACATAATGAACTATTTATAACAGCTTATGCATGAAAAGGACCGTCTGAAACAAAAGAAAGAGTCCTTACCTTGACTCCAGCTATTTCGATCATGAACATGGCAGCTCCCAGCACATGACCAGCGTGGTAGCACCAGAATTTGATTCCAGCCACCTCCTTGACCTCGTGGAAGTTGATGGTCTCGATCTTATCCATGCTCTCCTCCAGGTCAGTCTCAGTGTACAGCATGTCATCTGCAGATATGTTGCTGCAATACATCAAAGACACAATTATTTTAGGCACTACAGTTATTCATTTGGGTGTTTGAGTGTTTCATAATGATGGCTCCTGCTCCTGCTCCTACCTGACTTTGACGTAGTCTGACAGTAGCCAGCGGTAGATGGCCTTAGTGGCGTGGGTCATGAAGGTCCGGCCTTTAAAGCTGGTCTTCTGGAGGAACCAGGGCAGGGCTCCACAGTGATCCAGGTGGAAACTGGTGAGGGCATCAACATCAAATGACACATCCTTAGTTATGTTTAGAATATAATCAAAATAGCATGTACTAATACAGATGTGGTTGAGCATCTGTAAAAAAAGAGGAGGGGAGACTCACTGGCTGATGAGCAGCAGGTCTATCTCAGCTGGGTCGATCAAGTCTATGTAAGGGAGAGCGTCCATTCCTTCCAAGCCAGGGTGGATACCACAGTCCAGCTGCAAAACACAAAGATTACTTATTTCACCCAGGAAAATAAAATAATAAATAAAAGAACAATATAGTAATTAAAACATAACAACAACAGCCTGCATATTAGAGCCTGCACACGTATAATAAACCGACCATTACCTTATAGTCATCGCTGTTGCATAACTGAGTAATACTTATATAATAACGCATATATGTTATTGTTATTTGCTCAGTTTGAAGTCACACAGCAGCAGACAGTTACATCTTTATACACAATCAGAGTCAGCACATAAATATTTACCATTATTTTTCTTCCTTTGAACTCCAGGATGATGCATGACCTCCCAACCTCCTGACCAGCACCCCTGTGGTTACATGACAGAACAGCATTGAAGCTAACGTCACATTTACTATGCTGTTATTATGGTCAACCTGCATGAAAGCAATGCCCTCAGTATGTCTGATAAAATAGAACATATAAACGAGCTCACAGTGGACGGATGAGGAGCTGGTCACTCTCCTCCGCGGGCACAATCACCTCCACTTTGCGCTTTGTCGCCATGTGTGTTAAAATGTGCAGTTAAATGTGGGAATAGGAGAAATAAGCGCGGCCATACTGTACAGTGATCAATGAATGAGGTGGGGGCGGCCTCTCGAAACGACGTCACACTTCCGGCGATGCACCAAAACACCGCCGACGAGAACCAAAGACGTCGGCAAACGTTCCGGGATAGTTTTTTTACTAAAACGAAATCGTACGAATAAAATAAATGAATGTTACAAATGACACGGGAATCACACACACACGCGTATGTATTTACCTAATATATGTTATCTACAAGACTGTCGGCTCAATATTGAACTTTTAAAGAGACTTTTTGAAGTCCGGTGCGTCCCCTTTAAGTGGTGTAGGGTGTAGGCTGTGAAACTCAAAGGGAAGCTAAAGAGTCAAAGTGGAGGTAAACAGAAAGCTGCTTTGAAGAAAATTAACTCCAAACGGTACATTGAGGCGGTTTCAGTACAAACAGGTGTGTAAGATATCGTTTTGTTTAATACATTGTAGTTTCCCAGCACCACCCCCTGTGTTGAGTCTTGGCTTTTCAAGTTCAGCGTTAAAATAAATGCGGTGGGGGACATTTAAGGTGGAGTAGTTTCATCTAAATATTATTATTTTACGGTGTACAATATGGCTAACGAGGCTTTTTTCCCCCTTTCCTGCCTGTAAATGAACCGTATAAATGATGAGTCTAATGCAACCTGTTGAGTCTGGTCTGTCCCTCTCAAAGACCTGCTGTAATATTTGGCTCAGACATGATGGAAGTAGAAGATATTGTTACAGCAGCAGGTGTAACACTTGAACTGGTTTCCGATTTATCTGGTGCCCCCTTCGTGTCTCGACTTCAGCTGCAGTTATTCGAGGTTGCTGTGAATTTCCCCTTGGGGATGAATAAAGTATCTATCTAATCTAATCTAATCCAACAACAAGTCCGAACAATATTATAAGCGCCACAAATGTTGTATTTATTACAGTGTTATATTAGAATAATATAGTTATAATGTGTGTTTTTATTTTATTTGAATGTTCTCTAACACAGCCTGTTGAATGGAGATGCTCATTAATCATTAATGAAACATTCTCCATTTAAAAAGTCAAAATGAAAGGATGATAAATTGAAACTGAAAGTGAAACATGACTTAATTTTTGAGTCATTTTATACTTAATGTTACAATGTTTTGAGGACAGCATTGTTTTTAGACTTAAAGTTTCAGCAAAGCATCTCTATTGGATTCACACTTTTATTTTGTTAAGGCCTTGCACACTAAGATGTTTAACTCCTATTGTTGAGTTCAGACCATAAACCCTCACATTAGGTTACAGAATGAATTAGCTTTCTAGTATCCGAAATCAAAGTTTCTACTCGTTCATATTTTTTAATGACACTTGTGGTTATTCATACTTTAACGTCGTCTCTGTTGAGACTTGAGAGGCAGTCCTGCTGTGTGTTTCACACTGTGGTCCATGGTGTCTCAGGTCGAAGAGGCTGGAGGCCTGGATGTGGTCGTCATGGTGAAGGATGTTCCGGAAAGTCAAAAAGCGCCACAGCAGCAGCAGCTCGCAAAGCAGTGAGATCAGCACCAAAAGCAAAGTACGGCAACACACGTAAAACATGTTTTCACAGAGCCACTTTCTCCTGGTTGCCCCCTCTCATGTTTCTGACTCTTTGCAGTCTGTGGACTCCAGTTTGGGGGGACTCTCCAGATCCAGCACCGTCGCCAGCCTCGACACAGACTCCACCAAAAGCTCAGGTCAGTCTCTCTTTCCTCTTCTTCCTCCGTTCCTCCCCTTTTTCTTTGTTTTTAGCTGATATGCCCGATGAATGTCGTCTGCAGGTAACAGCACGTCTGAAGCGTGTGCTGAGTTCAGGGTGAAGTATGTGGGAGCCATTGAGAAGTTACAGTTTGACATGAGCAAGACCCTCCAGGAGCCTCTGGAACTCATCAACTACATTGATGCTGCCCAAGTAAGAAGCAATGATAGCTCACAGCAGTCGGTATCGCAATATCAATTCACGCCATCACAGAGAAGATCCTGTAAATAAATATCCGGCTTCTTTTCGCAGCAAGACGGAAAGCTGCCCTTCGTACCCGGAGACGAAGAGATGATTCTGGGGGTGTCGAAGTACGGAGTCAAAGTGGCCTCACTGGACCAGTGTGTGAGTAGGAAAGTGATGTACTGTACTTCAGATTGAATGGTCATTGATTAGACATGAGCAGTATTGCTGGGTCATCAATACGGCCCAACAGCATGGTTATGAATTCAGCATCAATTTATATTTTCGACAGGGTTCTGCAGGAAGCCGCTGACTCAGATATTTCAGCAATGTTCCCTCCTTACCCATTTTATGTGGAGTGTGAGCTGAATTTGGGGTTTATAGCTCTTGTATAGTGTTTAATAGAGTTACCTCTGAGGCTGCATTGATCGACGATGATCACCTTTTCTTAATAAAAAAATGAAGACATGTAACACTTGATCTACTGAGTGAGTAATGAAGTGCTTTTAATTGTACCTTTGGCCAGGATGTGCTGCACCGCCACCCTCTGTACCTGATAGTGCGTATGCTGTGTTACGATGACGGCCTGGGCGCGGGGAAGAACCTCCTGGCTCTCAAAACCACCGATGCAAAGCAAGAGGAGTGCAGTATCTGGGTGTACCAGTGCAGCAGCTCGGTGAGTGTAAAACAGTTTGCTGGATTTGGGGTTAAAAAAAGATCCACATCACCTGTCTGTGGTTGTCAGTAAAAGCTGAGTTTTTTTTTAATACTCTGTGTGTACAGGAGCACGCTCAGTCCATCTGCAAGGTGCTGTCGGCTTCTTTTGACTGCGCTCTGACGTCAAACAAGTCCTGAGGGCCAGAGAGGCAGACGGGAGAGCTGAGAGCTGTCTAGAGAAGACAAATGAAACAACTGCAAAACCGTTAACAGTAAATCAGGAGAAAACCTCGACTGCATTGTGTAAATTTGTAATTGCATTCGTAATCATTTCCCTTTTTTTCCCCCTACAACTTTTCTTCAAGAGAGATTAAGTGGAGGACGAATCCTGTGTGTTTTCCATGTTAGTTTACAGGAAAACATGATTCAAGCCCTTTTGTATTGATGGTGCCGCGCCTGGTTTGGGATTCATACCATCACCTTCCCATCATTCTCCAGTTGAGACACAACTACTGTGAAGAAGTCTGAATCATTTCATGGGAAATAGTTTTCGTTTACCTCACGTGTCCCTTTGACCTTTCAGCCAAAAGAAGAAAAGTGTAGAAAAAAGGGAAATGGTTGTATTATTTTTACAGCCTTGACATGTAAATGAATCATATTTAATGTAAATTATGGTACAAAAAGGTACATTAATGTTGTGACCCATCTCTACTCGGCTGTGTCCGCATTCAGTAATTTATGGGAGTCGTTCATCGGTGGAGGAATGATACGGTACACAGATTTGACAACATGAACGCGGTTTAGTTCTCTTCATGTGGAAAACCAATCAGATTTCCTTTTAAGTTCAGAGTTAATGTTTGTGTGTTTTTCTGAGACAGTATTGGTACATTAGTCACTTTTTGACTTAAAGGTACGTTATACACAATGTTTTAACTGTGGGCCACAAGCTATATCTCGTCTTAATTTGTTGAATTTACTTATTTTTAATGACTTTTTATTGTGTCTTGTTTTGAATTTTATTATACTGCAACTTTCTTGGTACCTTGTTTTCTGATTTGTTAAGTCCTTTGTTTTCATGTAGTGGTTAAAATGCATTAAATCCATTAGACTTGCACAAACCACATAAATCCTAACAGGCTGTTAGAAGCTTTGGAAGGATGTTAAGAGGAAATATGTGTTTCCAGTCGTGGTACTAACTTGACTTCCCTCGTTACATAACGATAGCCCTTTTTCCTCTTCTCCTTTTCAACATGGTGCAGTTAACATTAAGTTGAAAATGTACAATGAAATCATTTTATCTGGTGTCATAAAAGGAGTGGATGGGTTTTGTTTTGGATAATGGATTCACTGATTAAAGTGTATTTTCTTTTTCTTTTAGTGTCTTTACTTCTGAGTGTCTTTTAATAATGCTACTTCACTAATAACACTATTTCTTGATATTTCCCCCCAAGAACATAGCACAATGAATGTTTTATAGTGTTGGATGCGGACATGCTGAAATATTCCCCATTAGAGGGAGCTCTTGATACATCATCACTTTTTACTTGAAGAATCACACCAGTCAGATGGTGTTTTATATAAAATGCTAGTCATTAGAAGTTTTGTGCTGAAGATTGGAATATCCACCAAAACCCATAATGTATTGCCAGTAATAATTCAGTAAAAGTATGCATCATTTGCACAAATGAATGATAAATACCTTAATGCCCTTAAGAAATAGACCAAAGCCTTGTATTATTTCATATTTTATTATTCCAGTTTCATTTTCCCATTTACTTGCACAATAGAGTTAAGAGGCGATGCAGTGATCCACATACAGTTAATGAGGATGAATTAAGTTTATTTTCCCAGTTATGTGTGTGAGACTATATTTGTGTTTTCAGCACACACACACACACACACACACACAGGTCCAGCTGAGGTCATATCTGTAACTGCTCATCACCACAGCGCATTAAAAGACATTTACTGCCCAGGTTAGCTCTGCTCTCTTTTTTTTTTTTACATTTAAATATCAACAAAACAAAACCAAATCTATTTACATGAATAGATTATTAAATCTTCCTGTTTCCAGTGAGTTCATATTAAACACGTTGAAGAGAACAGATCAGCTACGATTCACATGCTTCTCTTCTTAATATCCATGGAAGGCTCCGGTTTCAGGTCCAACGCCTAACATCAGCATTATGAACAGAAAGAAAGTTGCTCTGCAACCAAAATGAAGTTAATTACATTGATTGTTTTATATTTCTTTCATAACACTATTGATAAACTCATCTTTCTACATTATAGGACCCCAGATATCAGAGGCTTAAGCTGTAGGAAGTATATTCCTTTCTCTTTATGTCTAGTTGAACAGAGAGTGTCAAAAGAGTCTGGGAGCTCTCAAAGGCAAGAGGGAGCAACTAAAGTCACAGAGCTACCTCCCGGTTTTCATCACATTCCCCAGTCGCTCTTTTTTTATTTCTTAACTTCAATATTCTTTCATTCTCAGCTTATACTGTGCAGACGACACACACACACACACACACACTATTCCTCTAATAAGGCAGATGACAGGCAAAGACGGCCTGATGTGTCAGACTCAGCATAACGGTAATTACTGGCTGCTGCAGCTCCAGTCAGTCTCGTCATTCACCCTGAAGCAGTACAGGAGGAAGAACTGGAGTGTTGCTAACATTATCTATAAAATAGTACAGGGGGTGTGTGTGTGCACGTGTGTAGAGAAGCAGTTGTAGAAGATGATGTGGCATACATTTCCATCACTGATGTGTCTGTGTGATGAGTTGGAGGCTATTTTTTATTTTTGCGTTTCCTCCCTTTCACGCCAGTCTGTCTTTGATACGGGGGACAGGGAAGCGCTCCCTCGGGTGCGGCTTCTAGCATATTCCAGGGTTAATTTAGCACCATTAGAAAAACCTCCACATGGGAGGCCCACTACAGGGTTGAAAAGCAGGTAGGCATTTAAAATCGCTCGTGCACGGAGGTGGAATGTAAGCATGTTGACTATGTTCACATTTACAGTTGTTAGTAAGATAAAATACATTGCTGTTGTCTTCTCAGTACTATCGCTTTTCTGAACCTTCTGTACAACACAGCGGAGCAGAAAACGGATGAAATTAATACTGTACATATAACCTTCATTATGTCACGTCGTCTTATGTTGTAACAAGGATAAAGACAAGGAAAGTGCATTTATTGCGAGAGGTCATTCACTACAATCATGTTTTTTTTTTGTTTTAAATCTTAGAGTCTTTGTCAGAAACATGAACAGCAAGCAATAAAACCCACATTACAGTCCCACGAGTCCTCGCAAGGAGCGACACCCAGACTTTCTGGCGCAAGTCTAAGCCAGGGCTGCCAGGATGACCCACGCAGATTTGCAGCCGAGGTGAGGATACAGCAGTGACACTAACAAGCTTGCGGATGATGCCAGTAAAGACGATGGATGTTGACAACAAACATTGGGACGACGGTGGAGGTTTTGCTGGCTGGCAGACGGAGACGGGACGCTGCATTCTGTTCCTGAGACCCAGAGAGCAACCGTTCAGTCAGCAATGAAGTGTACAAATGTAACCGGGAAGGCTCCTCTTCTTATCGGATCGCCTTCGATGTGGCCCAGCTGTGAAGAAGGAAGGCAGAAGAGGTGAGGTCAAAGGTTAAACTCGGAATATTTTCAGAGTTGTAAGTCAGGTTGGCTCTTTGTTCTATTGAAACTAAAACACAAAATAATTCGACTGTTCAGCAAAATAAGTCACATAAAGCACGAAAACACAAGACTAAAACACCACTAAGCACTACGGCTGGGTTAAACAAAAATTGAAAAAGTCAATATTTATTCATAAAATCTGAATAAATATGCCTTTTATCCGTAAATATGTGTACACTAAATATTACATGCATTATGAGATGTATGAGGTGTAAAGTGTCTAAATAGTGGAAAACAAGTCATTACAAAACAGAAAAACCAATCAGAATATCAATGCCAACATCCAGCCCTACTAAACACCACCTAACCGAGCACATAGAGTGTACTACGAGAGGCTAAATCACAATAAACATCTCAATAATATTTAAAAAAGGACATTCCCACATTATATTACCTTGGCCGATAAAGAAGGCAGTACTTATTATGTCCATTTAAGTCATTTTAAATGTCTTCTATACCTGAAAATACAAAGCTAAGACATGTTTCTACATGTTTAGACAAGGCTCAAATTAAAAGTAAAGGATGACAAACCATCGAGGAAATAAATACAGAATAATTAACAATTTGTTGCAGAGTACCTCGTGTTATAAACACCGCTTCTACACATAACAAAACATCCTTCTCCCATTTATTTTACTCCTCCCATGAAGTATTTTTAAACTATTTTTAAAGTGAAAAATTAAACTAGCTTGAGTCATATAACTGGCCCTGTTTTCCAGCTAAGAGACCAATTTAACTTCCAACTAAATCGCCACAGTGACACTACAAAATGACTTCATCCCTTCTTCGCACTGCCTCCTGACTGTGCTTTCATTTCGATATTTCAGACGCACAAAGAGTGATAATGCTGCCGAATGCGTAGACAGAGAGGAAGCACGGCGAGGACCTCGGGGGACTTTAGGGTCTGCGCAGGGACACAGAGGGAGAGACTGACTAAATACGGTCATATCTGCAGAGGTGGCTCAGAGGAAAACAAGTTGCAGCTGGTTGATGTTCACACAAGGGGCTCCACAGAGGAAGCTGCAGCAGGCGGAAAAAGAGGAGGAGGGGTAATATCAAGCCAGAGTGAGGTCATGGCTTTTTGCTTTTGCCACCATGGTTACCGAGTTCGCTGACATCCACATGGTGAAAATGGGACCAGAGTGGGACTGGGAAGAGCTTTGTGCTTTAATCTGAGATCTGAGAATGCAGAAACACACCAGAAAAAAATAAAAACAGTGCATTTGCAGCGTGAGAGATACTGACCCACCACTCCTGGTCCTCCTCTCCATCCACCACGATCACCTCGCCCTCAGAGAAGGTCAGCTCGTCCGGGTTGTCGGCTATGCAGTTGTAGATGGCTTTCACCCGTTTCGGCCTCTGCTTCTGAGAGGCAAAACGAAGCACGCAAACAGGTTTGCTTGAGTTTGTGAGAAGAAAACGGTAGAACTGTGTGTGGCGGACGCCGCGACAGTCATGGTACATTCTATCTCGTATTGCCTTTTTTGTTTGTTTTACGCTATTAGGAGGTTTATTTTTCTTGTTGCGAACTAAGGCCAAGTTACACTCTTTTTTTGACCCCCATTATGTGGTATTTTGGGAGGTTTTTTCTTTTCCAAATTTAGATTTTAGGGACAGAGGGTGTTGTATGCTGTACAGCCTCAGCACACCATTTTGGGAACCACTGCCGCAGAGTTTATGAAGCCCTTTGATTTGCCATTTTGGGCTATAAAGGCTCTATGGCAGAAAACATTATGTCTTCCTTAGATAAAGTGACTCCTTGTCACTGAGTGCGACCCACCACCGTTATCATTATTCAAGCATAATAATCTTCCACTTCCACACCCTAACAGAGAGCTTCTCTACAAACACTGAAGAAGCTCTTTGCCTGTTGGGGTACAGGAAGGCTGCATAAGGAGACACTGGAAACACTGAGACAATAGGTCACATACTGAAGGGAATACTGAACAACACTAATAACAGAATAAACCATGACTAGGGAAGTCAGTAGCCAGTGAATCAGTAAACAGTATGAATGAATAAGCACTTTGCAATTAATCTGGATGATAATGAGAGGAAGAACGAAGGACTCACTGGGTAGGCCTTCCTCGGCATGGGGGCTGGAGGCAGAGACTGACCTATGGAGTTCTGGGGGCATCCTGGCACTTCCTTAGCTGGAACAGGAAGAGGAAATTATATCACAGCAACAACAAAACTTTCCACGTTTCCACAAAAGAAACAGGATATGACAGATAGTAAAAACAACTTGAATGTATGACTTTGTACAGTGTTCGGACACAGATTTAAGAGAACTGATGTTTCACTCTTATCTGTATACTCACCTGGTCTTTCGATGGATTGTGTCCGATTCAGAGGTCCTCTGTTGAAGCTTTTATCATTGCTGAAGAAACAAAAAAAAAAGAATGTAAAAAATGTGCTCTTGTCAACAAAGTAATAGTCGAGACAAGAATCTAACTCTGCTCTTTAAGACTCAACAGCTCTGTTACAGATTTATTACAGCACCGTCGGCCCTGTGGGAGATAAAAAGACAAAAGGGCGACTGCGGAGGAGAGTTATTGCTCGTCTGGCTCGACGCAGATCTCAGCCTGGGAGCTAATGAAGCGGCTAAAAAGCAGCCATGTAGGCTCATTTCTCTTGGGAAACAAACACCACATTACAAGACAAGCAAGACACACAACCCCGGAGGTAGTGCACGGCGTTTGTGTGTATGTGTAGCGAGTTATATGAATCTACTGTTTTCCTGTGTCGCTAATAAAGCTGCAAAAACACCACTGAACACTGAACTTGAAGCTCTATACAAGTTTACACTGAATTTATAGTCGCACCCGGCTTGAAGCATTGTGGTTCTTACCCTGCCGGAGATTTAGGTGGCGCTATTCTGGACCCCAGTGGTCCCTGGCCCGACTTGGACTGTATGTTCATGGCCTCCATCTTCGCCACCGAAGCAGAACCCAGACCTGGGACATATAGTG